GTAGCAAACATTTGTCTTCCCTTTCCTGTGGAAAGAGTGCTATGGATTCTAGTAGTCTTTGATTGCACGTTTCAGGTGAAAAAAGAAAAGAATTCTAGAAAATGCCAGGCCTACTGGAAATAATCATTGCAAAACTGCCCAGTGTCACACATGTTAATAATTTTGTTTGCCAGCAAACATCACACCTGCATACAGCAGTCCTGATCTTGGAAACAGGAAACCTGACGAGTTTTCTTTAGGACCTTAGGAGCTTTGGTAGTTTTCCTCATGTTCTTACAGACATCTAGCTGTGGAAATCTCAAAAAACAAAAGAAAACAGACTCCCTCCCCTATACCCCAACAAAATAGAGGTTACTTTGCAAGCAACAAAGATTCTTGGAATTGTTTTCTATTCAGTTGCACATGATTGTCTTGCTATGTGAAGTGCATCTTCCTCTTACAACTTTCTCAAATGTAGGTGAGCAGTGGAAGGGAACCCATGGTGTATCTTCCATGTTCTGTAGATACAGCTGAACTAAAACTGGAAGTGATTTAAGAGAACCAGATTCATCAACATAACTATTTTCTTCCCTTGTGTATCTCTTTATTAATGCTTCTGGCTGCATGAGTTTTTTCCTGATCCTGCAACACAGAAGTTTTTTCTCCCAGTTGTGCTGAGAGACTCTCTTTAGGCACTTGATACCATTCCTTTTAAACCATTGATAAAATATCTTCAGAACCCGTACAACTCTGTTACAAATTGTAATGGTGTTTCATAATGAATTCAATGAAGGAATGTGAGGCTTCTGCTTGATGTTTGCTTGATATTTAAGCAAAGCTTGCTTTCAACTCATTGATCCAATCTACCTTGATGCCATATTTAAGGAAGCTGCATGTTTGCTATTCCTTCTAACAGCTGAAGCACGTTCCATACTTTGGAAGTTGATGACATCTCATAAATTACCACTGTGAAAGGGTGGATTCTCTGTCCTTGCATTTCTTATCGATGTGCAATCATTTGAAAGATGGTTGGTAAAACTGCACAATTTTTGAGTTCTTGGCTCTGAAAAGACAGTTGGATATGACATTTTTTTGATAGACAGTATTCCTGTCTGAGTTACAGAAAAGAAAAATTTGCTTCTTGTGCTGAGTTTTCTGAGTAACTATGGGGAAGAAATATGTAAGAATCAAATTCACTTGTGACTTTATGAAGATTTATGGTTATTTCAATAAGCTTTCTTTATTAGGAGAGTGTCATGGTCTTTAATTCATAATCAACCTGTGGCTTATTAAATTTTCAGTGTAATATACCTCTTGCTTAAATTCTGTATGATAATTTGCAGCATAGATGAATGGAAATTACCTCCATGCACAATACAGTGAAGATATCAAGAATCCTGAAAATATGTGTTCATTTATCTTGCTTTGCAACATGAAAAAAGCCCTGCATTGTCATTTTAAGGACAAAAAAAAAAGCATATTGGTTTAAAATTTTAATTTTTGACCTGCACAAACTGAAGCAGATGTTTTACGTTTGCACTTGAGTGAGGCTGCCCGAGGTTACTATTTTAAACAGGAGTTCTTCCCTCTCTGGGTCACAAGTCTGTAGGTCTCATTCAGCTTGCCTGTAGGCTCTGAATATAAAGACAGGTAGCACTAGAAGCTAATGATTTGCTGTGGTTGTGTAAGATTCAGATTGGAAATTTAAAAAAGAAAAAATAAAACTCTTCTATTCTCAGTCAAATCAGATTTTATTTGAGATATGCAGATTATCTTTCACAGAACATGCTTTTGGTAAAGAAAATGTCAGTTGTGTAGAATAAAAATTTTACAGGGAGAATTTCTGGTTGGATTGGCAGTTTTTTATTTCTGACATCATTGTCAAGTCAGATCAGATCAAAACTACAGGTTTTAATTTTCTTAACATAATGCTTGTGTTCTGTCCAACTCTATTTTAAAAGCTTCTTTTAAAAAGCTGAAGATCACAGTTCTCTAAATACATTTTCTGACCTTTTCCAAGTTTTATAGAAAGCTAACAAATCTTTGCACTAAAGAAAAAAAAATAAAAGCAGAAGGGTGCATGGAATTTCTTCTGTTTACTGTCTGGAATTGTGTTGACTGCTAGAATTCATCTTCATCATCTTTCTTTTTGCCTTCATTGCACCTTAATTGTTGCCCTTCATCCTACTCTCTATCTTTTCTTAACTAAGGGGAAGGAGAAAAATATCTTGTTTCAATAAAACTTTTGGAACTAAAACTAAACTAAACAAGAGCATTAAGATTTTCCTGCTAATGAACTGTGCAAGGTGGAGTTCCTTTTTCTGTGTCTGTTTTTTTCAGGGTTCTGCCTTTCATGTTATTCATGAAATGGTGTGGGCTAGCTCTAAGATGTAATTATCCAGTTTCAAAAGGTCAGTACTCTGTACTTCATTTCCACTGCTCACCTTTGCAATTATCCACTTCATTCACACTACCTTGACCTCATTCTATGCTTCCACCATTATTCTGGTCTTGCTATTAAAAAGTAAAATTCAGTGCAAGTCTGCACAGATATTTTATGGAGAGAAAATATTTGCATTTTAAGGGAAAATTAAAGATCTCAAGATTTTTTCACATGTCGCAAATTTTTTCTTAAGCTTTCACTTTTCGTTATAAATCAGAATTTAGAGTTTCACACAACAGCACTGTACAGAATGGAATGTCCCTGTAACTGCTTTGGCTTAGCTGTCCACTCCCAGATTCTTGTGCAGCCCGAGCCTCCTTACTCACAGGGCAGTATAAGAAAATTAAAATGCCTTGACTTAGTGTAAGCACTGGTCATTAACAATGGAAATATCCCTCTGTTATCAACATTATTCTCATACTAAATTCAGAACATAGCACTGTACCAGCTACTAGGAAGAAAATGAACTCCTATCCCAACTGAAATCAGGGCTGTTTAATATGTAAATTTATCATAATTATGTCTTGGCTGCAATGAATTAAAAATTTAAAGACATAGGTAAATAAATTTATCTTTGACATCAGATCTTCATGTGATAGTCATCTTCTGCTTAATTTTTTGATGAAATTCAATCTTGGATGGTATTGTGATTTCTCTCTATTTGATGTCTGACACAAATGAATTTGTATTGATTAGTGTCAACACTGTGAAAAGGTGAAATTTCAGACTTAGAATTTCAGCTGTGTATTTTGGCAGGCACTTTGCAAGAAGACAGGGTTTTCATGTTCTGGAACTTTCATGGATACTTGTAATAATAAATATGCCTGCATTTTTATTTAGGGAAAAATATGAGGCTTGTGACTGTAGTCCAGTAGAAAGTATTCAAACAATTTGCATAGCTTTGATGGGAAAGACATAATATTTGCTGCTAAATAGGTGTATGTGATTCCTTAGTTTCCAACTATTGTACAGAAATTCAGTGGATAGGTTCTAAAGACCTCACTGGGAACATGTGAGCATCAAGCATTTACTCGTGTGTTGGAGTTACATCAATGCTTTGATGACCTGTGCCCAAAACTGCAGACAGTGCTCAAGGCGAGGCAACACCAATACAGAGCAGAGTGGAACAATCCCTTTTACTGTCTTATGATAATCTGAATGAGCTTCTTTAACTTTATTTGGTTTCTAATTGTTTTTATTTACTCAGAAATAAGGCGGGAACAGACACGTTAGCAATTTGATTTAGCTAGAGAATGACATTGTCACTATTCATAGGGTCAGGTTATGCTGTAACCAGTCATTCTCTTCGCTCAACATTGAGAATATTTCCATTATTTGCCAGAAATTGATTTTAGAATAAAAGTAACCAATCAAACTGAAAAAGCACACCTCTGTGGCTCTTTCTAAAGCCTTGTTGGCGCAGATATCCTGTTTCTTCCATGAAGTGTCTCACAATGTTTTCAGTCACCATTTTTATCAAACCATTGATTTTAGTTCTCACAGAACTGAAAATTGTAAAAAGCTCTTAAAATTTTGACCTTTCATTTAACATATTCACAAATTTCTTCTTTTTTTCACCTCAATTAAAAGAACTGGAACCTTTTATTTTTACAGTTTTTAATCTATGTTAATCTCTTTTAATCTCCTGTTTAGAACCAGTTAATAATAATTTATTAACAGTAAGTATTCGTTGATAATAATCTTCTGATAAATTTCCATTAGTACCTGATAAGTACCTGGTTTGTGTTATAAACATAAATTCACTTTACAATATTTTCATTTGAAGTCTGAGAAGTATTTAATGCAGCCTTGACAAAAACCTCTATGTAGTTGTCTCTGAAGAATAAATCAGTTCTTTGATAATTACTCTATGTGACTTAGTAATGTGTCTTTTTGTTGATATATTTAATTTGTCCTATATTAGGATTTGATGAAAAACTTCATTAAGATATCCTAAAATAACATTACAGCATTGGCCATAAAAGATAATATTTCACTTAAGACTATTAACCATGACCACAAGAAAGAGATTAACATGAAAACTTAAAAATCTTTCCTCTGATTATGAGGATAACTCTATGTAGTACTGAAGGTATACTTTAGACCTTCTTCAGTTTAATAAACATTCATTGCAATCCTTCTAAATTGTAAACAGAATAAAAACATGCTGATTTTTGTCTTTTAGAGAATAAAAAGTGAACTTTGACATTGTCAAGCCAAAATCAATCTCAGTTTTATTTAAAACATTTTATTATTATTTTAATACTATTTTTCCAGAAATAGCAGGAAAAGAATAGGATTTTGTTACCAGTTACTGTATAAAAATTTATCTACACTTTACTTTTTTGAAGGTACATTTGATGAGAAATTGACTGTCTTGGTTATTTTAAAATTAAAATTTTTAACTTTATGACACATGGAAAACTTAGACCTTGGGCTGTTTTCTAAGGTGCCATCCTTACTCTGAGGTGAAGCCATTAGCCTCACCCAGTGAAAACCAGAGGGTTTTAATCAGATTATTCCTCTTTCTTTTTCTTTCTTTTTTGGTGATTCTTCCTCCTACCCTCAACCTTCCCAGATGGAAAGAATGCGGTGTGAGAATGCCTCCAAATGGGGAAAGAGAGAGCGACAAGAAGCAGAAAAACAAAGTTTGGAAGAAGAGACCAGAAAACACAAAATGCAGGTAAAAGAAATTCAGGAACTTCTGGAGATGAAAAAAACCCTAAAGCAACACTACCTAAATTGAGTTGTGATAATAAATATGCACTAGGTAGGCTTTTGGTTAAAAATAAGCTTTTTTTTACTAGTAGTGTTACTTAGTTGTATTATTTTGGGAGAATTCACACCCAAAATTACTATTTCAAAGTGTCAAAAAGTGTCCATAAAGCAAAGATTATACAAGACAAAGTAGCCCTTACTGCATCCCAGACTTGAGCAATTGGACCTCAGTGGCTTAGAATTTCTGTAGGGTACAGAAACAGGAAATATTTTCTGTTCATTTTTAAAAGATGCAGGGAGAAATGACAAGTATAACAGGACTAGGAAGCAAAAGTGAAGACTGGGAGGAACAGGAGAGATTAAGTGATCTTTGCAAGCTACAAAGTTCTGATGAAGGTCAAAGCAAACTGTGAGACAAATCATTTCCCTGTCTTGTTCAACATCAAATCTCTTCTTAGGAGAGGGAGAACGGGAAGAAGCACCTATTCTTATTTTTTTGTGCCTCCAAAGATCTGTTCATTTATTGTCCTGCTAAAAATGACTTGATAATTTATTCAAAGACCCTTAGCTGAGCATATTCCCTTTATTTTATGGTCATTAATGCTGATGACTAAATAGTAATCCAGAAGGCTCCAACTTTCATTGAGACTCTGAAAGTTCAAAAAAGAGAAAGCAAAAAGGTCCCCAAACCCACCAATCAATCACTAAATGTACATATCTGATGCTATGAGTCGCATATTGAGAAACAGTAGCTTTTTTTTATTTGCCTGAATAACAAATAATTTCATCTAATATATGTGCATTTGCTGCTGAATAATAACATCTAAGTAACTAGATTTAGGGTTCAGTAACTAGGTAATTTCTCTTGGGAAAGACTGAGAGAGAGGTTTTATACTTGATAGCTGTTAAAAGTAATCATAAGATTTTTCTGTTTCCATCATGACTGAGCAATGGCAAATGGAAGCTCATGCATATAAGCCTACCTGTCTAACATGTTTTGCGTAACAAACAATGGGTTTTAGCTTTTCTTTACTACTATTTATTTTATGGTAACATATACATATCATATCATATCATATCATATCATATCATATCATATCATATCACATCAGTACTTTCTTGATTTATTTGTAATGCAAGTAACTTGAGGTTGGAGATATGGCCAGAAAGAAGCTCATCTACTTAGGCATATTACTATGTTTCAAATCTCTGTTGCTTGTATATCTGTGCTGGTATGTTTATGTGTTTGGTTTTGTTTTAAAAAACAGTTAGTTGCATAGACAATTATTAGATATCTGTGATCAACTCTCTCTGTTAGTATCAGCTCTCTCCATTAGTAAAGCACCCTTATATTTCATTTACAATAACTGCAAAACATGGAATCACAGAACAAGTCAAACTGGAATGGACCTCCTGCTCAAAGCAAGACCAGCTCTGAAGTCAGATTGAGTTATTCAAGGTTTTGTCTAGTGAGGTCTCAAAAACATCCAGGTCTGCACCATCTACTCTGGGCAGTGGGTTTGTGATGGCTTGACCCCAGCTGGCAGTGAAGCTCCCACCGAGCCTCATTCACTCCCCAGCAGTGGCTTGGGGGGACAGAATTGGAGGGGCAAAATTGAGAAAAAAAACTTGCGGATTGAGATAGAGACTGGTTAATAACTGGGAAGGGGGAAAACAGAAAAGAAGGGAAAATAAAAACAAGTGATGAAGAAGGGACCAACACCACCAGCAGACTGATTGCCTAGCCAGTCTCTAAGCAGCAGCTGCTTTGGAAAAAGCATCATCATGTCATTGCAAGGGACTCTTCCTTCCCAGGTGTAGGACTTTGTCACTGCTAAATTTCACAAGGTTCTTGTTGGCTCCTTCTTTCAGCTTAACAAGACAACTTCCTGATCCCACCTACAGGCAAGGATATTGCCCCTGCCTGTCCCAGCCTCAGAGGAACACAGCAAGACCTTGATGGGAGCATTTTCCCTCCAGAGCTGTGAACTGAGCATGTGATGTATTTCTCCATTTAGGCTGGGAACCATGCCCTGCGTCATCCCCCAAGGCTAAACTCTCTTGCAGTCTTCAGAGGCATTTCCAGCCAGATCTCCTTGCCAGAGTCTGGTGTAGAATCCTAAGCATTATTCTCACTGTGTCCAGGGCTCCTGGCCTCTGTTTGCAGAGAGGAAGTGGTACCACTAAAAACGACACAAAATTGACAACATGAGTAAAATTAAAGAGCAACAGGATTAAAGTGCAGTGGCAAACCCTTAATGAGAAAATTTACCTTACTGCTGCTATTAAATGCAAAGCAGGTGTTAAGAAAGGAGAGAGTTCCTTTTTCAAGGATTCCATCCTAACTCAATTTAGATGGAACCTGTCTACTCCTTTGCAGACACATTCTAATGTCACTTGTTGAACCTTGCTAAATTCTGAGACTGTTTCTGATTTTCTCTAATACTATAAATAACCTGAAAACAATTGCTTTGACTTCTGGTTCACGACCCTTTTATTTCTGGGATGGTAGCTTAAAGTTGAAATAAAACAACATTATAAGCAGGGTTAGAGTAGTAAAAAAGAATGACTGCTGTAATGTGTTTGATGGTTAGATGTCTAGGTCAGCAAAAATTGAAACTACAGCTTTTTAAAGGTCTTTGTCCATCTTTATATGTATGATTTTGGCTTTATTCAACAAGTAAGCAAAAGACATACAGCTGATTTTTCATAGAATGAATCCCAAAGCAAAATGCAGTTGCCTAGTATCCTACTTTTTTTCCAAAACCTCTGTTTGTGAGATTATTTGAATCATCCATTGTGGTTATTTAAAACAATATTCAGTGTTATTATTTGATATATGGCTGATTTGTACTTGTAGAGGATATAAGCAAAAAATGGCAACATTTTTTTATTTAGTAATGGTTTTAGTAGTACTAAAAACATAGTATCGATACACAGAAATTAAATCCTTATATCCTTGTCTAAACAGTTTCATGCTGACAGTTATCTTGCTCTCTAATATGTATACATACCTCCAAAGGATACAGAATTTGTGCAATCTCTTGCCACTCATGGTATAAACCACGTAGATTGAAGTTCTGAATATAAAATGTAATATTAATTATGTCTTTCAAAAAGTGTGAGTCTTTGATATTATTTTTAGCTAGCAGTTTGTTGGTTTAAAATGTTTCCCTATGCAGTTTTTGAAAGGTTAAGTTCTGTTGTACAAGATGAACAGAATTGATGAAACAATTCAGATCAGACATTGTTGCTGTGCAGTTTTATTGATTGTACTTCTTGAAATGGAAAATACCATTTAAATTAATAGATGTATTATTTGACTGATATCATGGTAACAAATATTAAATGGATCTAACTGGTTCATCTAGGAAGGGATAGCATGAAAAAACCCACCTTGTTGATGGTGTAAATCAATACCCAAAACATGATGTTTATGGAAAAATATTTTCTCTTTCATCTGTGAATATGACCTTGAAACAAATTTATAAATTAATTTTGAGGAATATTCACTATTCTTTTGTATTATCTCTAATGATTATGGTAAATAGCTGGCTATGAAATATTAAATTAATGGAATATATTCATGGCATGTTAAATTAATGGAATATTCACTGGATGTGAATATTGAACTGTGGAGCTTGTGGATGCATGAAGTAATTTTTATTTTAAGTTTGATTTCTAGCTGTCGTATGATAAGCTTATTATGTTGTTAGCAAAAAACCCATATATCTGTGGGGTTTTTGAGAGGAGCTTAGGAGCTCCCCCATGCCAGACACTAGCAGCTCCAAGTGGCTCCAAAGGAAACCCAGTGGCCAAAGCTGAGCCATTGTGAGAGAAACAACCCTGCAGACGCCAAGGTTGGTGAAGCAGGAAGGGGAGGAGTTCTCTGGGAGCCAGAGGATGGATTCCGCTGCAGCCCATGGTGCAGACCTAGGTGAGGCAGCTGTGTCCCTGCAGCCCTGGAGGTCCATGGTGGAGCAAATGGGCATCTTACTGCCCATGCATGACCCTCTGCTGGGCCCTGTGCTCTGAGGGAAAGTGCACATGCAGGAGCAGGCTCCTGGCAGGAATCTCAGACCCTGGGGGTCCCACTCTGGAATAATCTTCCTTAAAAGTCTTTCAGCATGGAAAGCTCCCATCCTCAGCCAGTTCTTGAAGAACTGTGGCCTGCAGGAAGAAGCCGCGCTTGTGCAGGGTTTGAAGGATTGTATCCCATGGGAGTGACAGCCCTCACTCTGATACAGGGGAACACGTGAGGAGGAAGGAGAAGCAGAGAGAAAATGCATCCTGACATTCCCCTTCTGCGCATAGACAGAAGAGGGAGTGTAGAAAATGAATACAGAAATGATGTTGAGCCTGAGAGGAAGGGTGAGAAGGAAGGTAGATTTTAGTTCTTTCTTTGTTTTTAACTATTCTACTCTATTTTTAACAGGTAATATATTTAATTTTACCCTAGTCAAGTCTGTTTTTGTGAGGTAAATTTATCTCAATCCATGAAACCTTCTCTCTTCCTTTCCACTCCTGTCCTGTACAGGGAGGGTGTGAGGGAGCAGCTGTGTGGGCATCTGGAATTCAGACAGGGTCATCCCATCATAGTGTCAGAGGTGGGTGTGTTCCTCACATTTCACAGGCAAAAGTTACTTTTAATGATGCTACTTCATTGAGGTTGATTTTCCTTGTATTTGTAAAATATAGAAACATTATCCACTGTCGCCTTTCCCTCAGACCTTTTCCTTTCCCTCCTTGGAAGTGAAAGGGGTATTTCTTCTTTCTAAATATATGAGGTATTTAATGATGGTTTTCTTATATGCAGAAAATAATTCATCTGTTGTAGCCATGAAATCTTCCTTAGCCATGAAGTCTTCCTGACAGTATCACTGTGTAAGTCTTCCTAACAGTATCACTCTAATTTTTATGGATACAAAGTTTTGGTGTAGGAATAGGAACAATGGGAATGGCATTCTTCCTTATTTTAACTAAAAAAGAAAGCAAAACTAGTAAAGGCTATAAGATGAAATTGCTGCTCCTTAAATCTATCTTTTTAGTTGAACAAGAAATCAAAGTTCAAATATTCCCTTTTTTTTAAAGATCCAGAAAAATCAAATCAAGAAAAAATCCAAGATAAAAATCCAATATAAAAATCCTCTGTCTCTGCACATCTCTAAAGAAGATGTTATAACACAACTGTATTCACTTCAGATTTATTTTTTAATAAAGGCTAGATGACTAAAGTAGCACACTTTTGATGACAGACAATCTTATTACTCTGAGCTGCACAGAAATGTATGACAAGTTATTAATTAAAACAGCTTTTGCAAATTCAGTTGAAAAATCACATTTAAGAAGTAGTCAAGAAAAATAAATGGAGCAAGATAAGATGAAAACTGCTGCAGCTGCATAAGCATACCTT